GGCTGCCCTCTCCCTCCCCATTTCAGGCTCAAACCCTTCGCAGCGTTGTTCCCGTCTCCCATCCTCCCTCCCACCGTTTATATCTCTTTCCCATCTGGCTCCCCAGCTTAGATAGGCACATACTTTATCTGCTTCGAGCTTAATTCAATTATACCACTCCATCTACTTTCTGTTCCACCTCACAGCTTGCCCGCCATGGTCCATCTGTCGGGAATCCCGGAAAAGAATCTCAACGGAGATGGCCTGAGTGCTGGCAGATTAACTCCTCAGCCCGATGGCAGGAGAACTCCCCAGCTCCAGCTCATCAACTTCCCTGATCAGTTTACCACCAGTGTCTACGGCTCGAGATTTGCTGGCGAGGACCTTCCCCGCACTAAGATGCCCGAATGCGAGATGCCCCGCGACATCGCCTATCGCATGATCAAGGATGATCTCAGTCTCGACAACAACCCCAAGCTAAAGTAAGCGCCCACCCTCGAGCTTGGCTCATTCTCTGTCCATTTTTTATGTACTGTTATATTCGCGACAAACAGAAACATTTGGCTAACGTTACTCCTCGCACAGTCTTGCTTCTTTCGTCACCACTTACATGGTGGGCACACCCCCTTGTTGTTGGTCTCAGAACCGCAATGGAACCTGAATGGCCTGACTGCAAGGATTTTTTTCTCACCCATATTATAGGAAGAGGAAGCTGAAAAGCTCATGGCCGATGCTTTCCCCAAGAATTTTATTGACTACGAGGAGTACCCTCAATGTGCCGAGATCCAAAATCGCTGTGTCAACATGATTGGCGATCTCTTCCATGCACCCGCTGGTACCGCTGTGGGCACCTCGTCTGTCGGTTCCTCCGAGGCCATCATGCTCGCCGTGCTCGCCATGAAGAAGCGCTGGAAGCAGCGTCGTCAGGCCGAGGGCAAGCCAACCGACCAACCTAACCTGGTCATGTCCTCCGCCGTCCAGGTGTGCTGGGAAAAGGCCGCCAGGTACTTCGAAGTTGACGAGAGGCTGGTGTACTGCACACCCGAGAGGTATGTCATCGACCCTGAAGAGACAGTTGCTCTGTGCGACGAGAATACCATTGGTATCTGTGTCATCTTGGGCACGACGTACACCGGTGAGTACGAAGACGTCAAGGCCGTCAACGACCTCTTGGTTGAGAGAAACGTTGATGTTCCCATCCACGTCGATGCTGCCAGCGGTGGCTTTGTCGCACCCTTCACCGTCCCTGACCTAGAATGGGACTTCCGCTGTGAAAAGGTCGTGTCCATCAACGTCTCTGGTCACAAGGTAAGTCCCGAGAAACCCGAAATGTTTTATGAGTTGCGTGGCTGATCTCATCCAGTACGGTCTTGTCTACCCTGGTGTGGGTTGGGTCCTCTGGCGAGCTCCCGAGTACCTTCCCAAGGAACTCGTGTTCAACATCAACTACCTGGGTGCCGACCAGGCTTCATTCACCCTTAACTTCTCCAAGGGAGCTTCACAGGTGGTGGGACAGTACTACCAGCTCATCCGCCTGGGTAAGCACGGATACCGCTCCATTATGAGCAATCTCACACGCACAGCCGACTACCTCACTCGCTCCCTACTGCAGCAAGGATTCATCATCATGTCCAAGCCCTCTGGCGAGGGTCTACCTCTAGTCGCCTTCCGCTTTGCTCCTGACGAGGAACGTGGATTCGATGAATTCTCCCTGGCAAGGACTCTCCGTAGCCGTGGTTGGGTCGTCCCCGCCTACACCATGGCTCCCCACACAGAGAACCTCAAGATGCTTCGTGTCGTTGTTCGAGAGGATTTCTCCCGCAGCAAGTGCAACATGTTGATCAATGACATCAAGCTCTGTGTCGGACTCCTCAAGGAGACCAACCAGGAGGTCCTGAGGAGACAAGACGCTTACATCCAGAAGCACATCCTTTCAAGTGGCAAGCTCCGAAATGACGCGAGCCCCACAGTCTACAAGGTACGTAGCTTGCGCTTCTTTTTAGACATTGAAACATCTATTGACACGTTCCCTCGCAGAATGAAACACATTCTATCCAAGGCAAGACTGGAAAGACTCACGGTATCTGCTAAGAGTGGCCATTGGCCCCCTTTACCCCTGTTTCTATAGAGATTTTGTTTCATCCTTGGGCTATCAGGTTGGATTTAGATTTCCCTGACTCAATGATCCATGACAAGGTTCATTTATCTCTTCTATTTGGCTTCTATTGTTTTCTGTTTATGGGAGTCGGTTTTTGCTGGAGTAGGTTCTGATACACCGGTTGATTCTATGAAGAGATGAATGCATATTTCCCCCTTTCCATTTTAACCATGTTCCTTCTATATAATCCGTTCGTGAATTCGTAGCAAAGTATGTTCATGTCGGCATGCAGAATCACAGATCGTGGCTTGCTAAATCAAAACAAACTAGGTCGAGGCTTGGCTGGGGATTGGCGAACCAACAACCTGGCGATGATCACCACCAAAATACCTGCAATGATGGAGCCAATCGCCACTAGAAGAGTTCCAGTCAACATAACTCCGGTATGGCCAGCTGGGGACACTGGAAGAAAACTGTTATATGACGGACTTACCGATGGAAAACGTCCACCCGGCCCCAATGGAATCAATCAGGGGAACGGTTGCCCCAACTCCGACTGCACCGAAACAGTATTGGACAACATACTTGCCGCTGATAACCGCCGTCTTATATTCGGGGTTCGACTCTAAGGGATTATAACGAAGGTTAATCAGCTGGATCAAGAATGGGTTCAGTGTCTTCTGCTCACCTGCAGCATAAGTGTTGAGCCCGCTGAAGGACGCCATCAGGCCGAAGCCCTGGATGAAGGCGGCGCTGATGGGGAGCCCCATGCCCCCGATCGACTTGTCGATGCTCCACCCGTACAGGAAGGTCCCCAGGGGGAGGACTCCCAGGACCCAGAGAGGGGTGCTGTTCAGCCTGTCCTCTGCCAGGCGGACGCCCTCGCGCTTGTCGATGTACCTCTTCACCACCCTGTCGGATAGGTTGCCCCCGACGATACTTCCCAGCAGGAAGCCGACGCCAGGTGCGAGGTAGAAAAGACCGCTCTGCAGAGGGGAGGTGAGCCCGAAGAGTGGGTTGATCAGATGGCGGACAGAGCTGAGGATGGCATATTGGTTGAGTCCTAGCAAACCACAGGCAAGATTCTACGTAACGGTTGAGTAAAACTAGAAAGATCATGGAGGAAAAGGGGGGGGGAGGGGTTTTCTGCTGACCGAAAGGATAACACCAGGGTACTTCCACTGGTAAAAGACGGCAGACGGGTTGAAGGCCCGCAGAACATCCCGCCTGGAGAGCTTCTTGCCGGCCGATTCGTGCGTGCTCAGGTTGGACAGCTCGCTCGCCTTGGGGACGAAGAAGTAGGCGAGGACCAGCCCGATGAAGCTGATGCCCGACAACACCCCGAAGATGGCTCGCCAGGTGGTGTAAGTTGCGATGACACTGCCGACCAACGGGGCTAAAACCACCACAAAGGTTAGGCCTCCTTACGACTCTGAAAATGTGATTTGAGTGATGGGGTAATAAAAGAGCGGGCTTACCTATCGACTGGGAACTAACGCAGCTGCCGAGGAAGAAACCAACGGCCGTACCACGGACGGTCTGCGGTTCAATCAGCATAAAATAATTCTTTTACAAAACATCGAAAAGAGACTAGGGTTGAACAAACGGGCTCAAAGATATCGGCGAGGATGGTCTGGCCCGCAACCAGGAAGAAGGGGCCCGTCGTGGCACCAATCGCCCACACGGCCGTCAGAGAAGCCAGGTTCCTGGCCAGAGCGCACCCCATGGCGCAGAGTATCAGGATGACAGTGGCGACGATGTACGCCCTCCGACGTCCGATGAGGACGCTGATGGGCAGCCAAATAAGGGCGGACGCGGCCATCGCAGCCACGACGCAGGCATTCGCGGTGCTGATGCTCGTCGTGGTGGTGTTCAGGCTGGCAGCAATCTCCGGCATGGCGGTCATGATCGAGGTGCTGAGGAAGACCATGGGGAGGGCCATCCAGCATACGGAGAAGAGGATGACCCAGCGGCGCCATGTTGGCAGCTTCGCCACGCGGTCATCCTGGGCGATCAACGGGAGAGGAGGGTCTTCTTCCTCCGGAGGACTGGCCGCCTGTTCCACCTTGGTGATGGGCTGGGACTGAGCCTTCGTCTCAGGGGTCGGTTGCAACATTGGGAAGGTATATCGGCGGATTCAAGGGGTACAGTACAGCCTGGTTGGTAGCATTCAATGGCCTTTGGAGGAGACGATGTGGTAGAGGGTACTCTCAAGGACTCTCATTGCACGAGCCTATACGAAGGGCAAGACAGCAACATGGAACCGAGACCAATTGAACAATGGGAATCTGATTTTGACTGGGGGAATACAATTGGATATATTTTTTCTCCCATGCAGCCAAGCCGGGAGTTACAGTACTACCTTCTCGGCGTCTTTGGCGTCTTTCAAACAGCGGAGTCTACTCGGCGAACTGTAAAGATACCGGCGCCCTGTAGACCGCCCATCGGAGGCACACGCCTTATCTCATGCACGGCGGGGGGGCACATTAGGCCATATCAGGCTGCTGGGCCTGGTCGAGTGGAAACCACGAAGCGATCATGGCGCGGGTGTAAGCCGGAGGTTGGAGCGCTGCCGACTGCGAAAACCTTGCGATGCTCCGAGATCGCCTCCGCCCGGTGGGTTTGGTCGGGTCTAACCAGGGGCATCGTGCCGCTTTCGTCCCATCGGCTTGACGTTGCCGGATTCTGTCATCGGCCGTGGGTATGACGAGCCGGCTACTTGCTATAATACGTTCCGGTTGTCTGGTTTGCCTTGGAAAAAATAGACTGGTTACTTGTAAGTCAGATCGATCACGACAATTCTGATGAGAGGATGGTTGAAGAGAGCAGAAAACGTAATATATCATCATCATTTCTATCCGCTGACCATTCCATCTAATTCATTCCCTTTTTTTTAAACCCCTGGTATCTAATTACAGCCCAATCATGCTCGAGTTACCGCAATGGCTTCCGCTAGGATATCCAACCCAGACTGGATCTCCCGCTCCGTCACGGTGAGGCTTGGAACGAAGCGGACCGTGTTGGTACCAGCAGTGATGATCAGGAGACCCCTCTCACGAGCAGCCTTCAAGATGGGAGTGGGATCCTCGGACAACTGGAGCCCGAGAATCAGACCCTTGCCGCGCACCTCCGTGATCAAGTCCGGGTACTGCTTTCGCAGCTCCTCGAAGCGCGCCCGGAAGACGTCCGACTTGGCGAGCACCTCCTTCTGCAGCTGGGGGTCCGAGAGTCGGCTCACCATGTAGTGCGCAACCCGGCTGGCTAGGGGGTTGCCTCCAAAGGTGGTCCCGTGGTCGCCCACCTTGATCTTGTCGCTCACGGTCTGGTTGACAATCACGGCGCCGATGGGGAAGCCGTTGCCGAGGGCCTTGGCCGAGGTGATGATGTCGGGGTGCGCCTCCTTGGGGAGGACGCCGTGGGCCCAGAAAGTGCCAGTGCGGCCCATCCCACACTGGATTTCATCGTAGATTAACACTGCGCCGACCTTGCGGCAGCGCTTCGCGAGGGCGACGAGGAACTCCTCCGAAGCGGCCCGAACACCACCCTCGCCCTGGATCGGCTCAACAATCACTCCGCATGTCTTCTCTGTAACTAACTCGGGGATGGCAGCAATGTCGTTGTAGCCTCCAACACGGAACCCGGGCACCATGGGGGAGAAAGGCTCTTGATATTTGGGGTTCGGCGTGGCGCTCAGAGCGCCCATCGTTCGGCCGTGGAATGCGCCGTTGAAAGATACGAACTCGTGCTTGGCGCCGGAGGGGTCGACGGCCTTGCCGACCTTGCGGGAGAACTTGATCGCGGCCTCGTTCGCTTCGGATCCGGAGTTGCAGACAAAGACGGACGAGGCATCGTGCATGCCACCAGACTTGACGGTCTTTTCGACGAGCAGCTTGGACAGAGCGCCGGTCCAGGGGTTGTAGTAGAGGTTGGAGGCGTGGACAAGAGTCTTGGCCTGTTGAGTCACCCATGTTAGCTGTCGAGTCCAACGTGTGCTACGGGAGAGCAGCGCGATGGTGGGGGGGAGCGAACCTGTTCGGCTACGATCCGAGCGACCTCAGGTTCGCAATGACCGAGAGCGTTCACGGCGATACCAGCGGTGAAGTCAAGGTACTTCCTGTCCTCAATGTCCCAAATATATGATCCCTCGGCTTTGGTGAAAACGGGGGGTGGGCGAGCGTATGTAGCAACCATATAAGGCGCATGTTCAGCAACGAGAGCTGCGCTTGGCGAGCCTTCGGCAGGGTCTGGGTTCGTTGGCAACGTAGCTTCATTCTAAAGGGGTGAGTGGTGAGAAGTTTGTTCGAATTATGGTCATATAGATTAAAGACAGAGATTGAATGGAGAGGAGGGCTCCTAACGTACAATCTTGGGTCGGACAGCTGACGACGAAAAGACCCTGTGCGAAAGTCGGGATGCCGAGACCGCGCGGGAATTATGGAGTGCGTTCGCCAATTGGCGATGAACCGAGTGTCGCAGTGCCATAGCTCGCAACTACCGGGGGTCTTCGAACAATTTTTTCAATTATTTCCCTCTACAGTGCAGACTGGCAAGGCCTGGTGAAGAAGAACTGGACCGAATGTTAAATGGAGTCTTGAGACACATTCTGGCGAGAAGGGCAGACTCAATATTTTGCTCTTATCGATAACAAGCTCAGCTCCGGTCTCGCTCTGTGTCATCATCGAGCTGCAAGGATGAGGTCGGATATGCTGTGACTCTGCGTACCCAGTCATCACAGCTGCATGTAAGGCTTTCCAATCAATTTGACCTGGTGGACACGGAATGCGGCAGACAACCAGGGGCTCATTGTCGTGAGATCACACTACATGTGCACATTTAGGACGAGAATTAAGCTCATCCTCCGTCTTCGTTGAACGCCCCCACACACACGCCGCGGCCTCTAAACGGTAACTATAATCCTCTAATACTGGCTTGGCACTTTGAATGAAGACCGCATGTTGCTGGGTAGACTTAAAGAAAACATTCCTGCAACGAGGATATTGTGGAAACTGACATAGTTCTTGTACATCGACGACTTATGAATGCTTGTCGTGTCATGTTTGACAAGGCAAGTTTCACCAGTGTAGCAATACACCCCACTCCATTGGCAATAGATCCAGCAATATCAATTCTAAATGCGACAGAATAGCTAATGAACAATGGCAAGAAGCCGACTCAGGTGTACAGATTCGATGACTCTTATGTATCCATCCAGAACGCCCGCCTAGTCCTCCGCACAAAAGAAATATAGTAGCTCCATCCTCCCATCCCAAAATAAACCAGCTTGGAGCAGCATATGACTCCAAGCTACCCCCTGCGCCTGCCTTGAAAGCCCACAGAATCCCTGTCTTCTTCTACACAGCGCTGTATCCACCACGACTTCCGGTGCCCTGTACTGTGTTCAGCACCTGGCGAGTCCAGTCCTTCAGCAAGTATGGAATGTCTCGAATGGTATCGCCGTGGGGGAGGAGGTCCCATCCTCGGGCTCCGTAACGAGTGTAGTTCAGCCAAGAGCCGAAAATAAGGTAGGCAGAAACGACGAGGAAGACACTGCAATCGTTAGTTATTATAGTCCTTGTAAAGAACAGGTTCCCGTATTTCCACTTACATGATAATGAACCAAGTGAAGAAGCCCCAATGACTGTTGTTCTTCTGTCTATCATCATCGCCGCTATCCTCTCTGCTTTCGCAGGCATGCTTGGTGTGCCAGGTAAGTCGTAGAGTGTCGACGTTCTTTTCAGAATCATCTGCGCCGTAGCTCTCCCAGACAAGGGCCGCCCCATCATTAAGTAGTTGATGTTCAGAGCTGGACTTCTCGTCGCCCTTGTCGCCCTTATCACCCTTATCATCCTTTTCCTCGCGAGCGCGCAGCTGTTCGAACTCGTCCCCTTCGTAGCGATCTTCCGAGCGCCACTCGCCCTCCAGACCGGTCCTGTTCTTGTCGCAAAGAAACTCGATCACCGCGCGCTGGTCCCGACGGTCCGATCCTTCGAGGGGTTCTCTACCACCTTTCAGCACCAACCTCACTCCCTCCTTTTGCGAATCTGAGTTGGAGTCGCTCGTTTTCAGACGTGTCGCTTGGTATTCGAACTGCGTGCCGCCGTTGTCTTCCAGCGCCCCAGCGATGGCAATGACATTATCAATGGTGTCCACGTTCTCCTTCAGCAGCCGGGTAATGGCGCATACTTGACCATTTGTCAGCTCGATGCCAAAGCGCTGAATTTCATGAACCCGGAAGAAACATACCTTGAGTACCGTTGGGACATTCCTCGCCTTTCTTTCCACTGCCCGTCTTCCTCAGAGGGCGACAGATATCGAGAGTATAGGTCGTGTTGTGGTAGTTGTCTGCTATCGAGTTGTACCGCGACGTAACGACGGAGTGGGGGCCCGTGAGCGCCGAGAGATCGAACGTGTGCTTGTCAACTACCAGGTTATCGCAGTGCAGGATGTTGGTCGATGATGCCGGCGAAACCGCTAGGAGGAGGGATAGAGCGAGCGGAGATAGCTGTGACGAATGCATCGAGAATGCGCTGTTGGATGTACCTGCTTATGAAGATGAAGATAAGGAAACAAATGATCAACGATCGTAGAGAAAAGGAAGAGTCTGAAACCACGGGTTGTGCAGCTCTCTACAGTTCTGGGCAGTTGGTTAAATAGGAATGATGAGAATTACAGAACGTTGCTTGCTGGTAATGGCCAGTTGACCTGATCTCGTGCCTGGCTAGAGATCCCGACGTGACGAATTGGCTCGGCTGGTCTTGGCGCTTGTGTCATACCTCCTATTAGTCAGCACGTGTCGATCACGTGCATCCCCTGGGAACTTGATAGAGCGACGTCCACTCAAACAAATCAGGCATGCGTCGCTGGAACATTTCATATTATTACGGCGTAATAGTTCATCATAGGGCATCAATTGAACTACTCTAGAGAGCTAAGAGTGTTTTAGATAAAGACACCATTTTTGGACACAAATACGACATTCGCCAGCCCAGTAATGACTCCCCAATGCATGTAATCCTAAAGCACAACGTGATCCTAACTCATGAATCCAAAATCAAACCGGGAAAACAACGCTCTCCATGGGTATTAAGCACCAGGGCCGGGAAACGATAAAACATAAAAGCCTTTCGGGACCTTCCTGTCCCAGCTTACGAACGCCGCTCTTGGCCACGATCTGCTCCCCCTCGTGGCGCGGTTCGTCCTCTCTTCCCTCGAAACAGGAAAGCTTCCTTTCACAACTTGGATCATTCGGAAATGTAGTTGTTAAGGTAGTTTTACATCCCCTGGGGGCCCATCATACCCCCCATTCCTTGCATAGCCTGTTGCTGCTGCTGCATCAGCAATTGGTTTTGCTGTGCGGCTTGACGCTGAGCAAGAGTGTTCTTAACAATCATGTGCGCCTGCTGAATAGACTGTGCTTTCACTTGGTTGACCACCTCTTCGGGGACCTGGTCCCGGCCACCATACTTGGCAGTGGTCTCCTGAATCATCCTAGCAAACACGTTCCTTGCCGTCTGGTGGATTTGCATTTGCACGGGGTTTTGCTGCTGCTGGCTCATTTGCCGTTGCTGCTGTGCTGCCTGCTGCTGCTGTTGTTGCATCTGGAGCATAGCCTGCATGTTCGCGTTGTTTCCGTTCATCATCTGGCCGCTGACCTGCCTCTGCATGGTATTACCACCCATCTGCTGCTGGGCCGCCTGCTGCGCTGCCTGCTGTTGCTGTTGCTGCATCCTAGCCAATTGCAACTGAGCCTGCATCTGAGGCGTCATTTGGCGCATCTGGTTGCCTTGCATGTTTTGTAGCTGCTGAGAATACTGCTGGGCGAGTTGCTGCTGAGTAGGCATGCCTCCTTGCTGTTGCTGCATCTGCTGCTGTTGCTGCTGCTGTTGCTGTTGAGCAAGAAATTGCTGTCGCTGCTGCATCATCGCCATCATCTGCTGCTGTTGGTGTGGTGACATTTGTGCAACCATGTTCCCATTAAGATTAGCCCCTTGCATATTATGCTGCTGCTGCTGCTGCTGGAGATGCTGCTGTTGCTGCTGTTGCATCGCACGTTGTGCAGCGAACTGTGCCATCAATTGTGGGTTTTGCTGCGCCAAATTTTGGTTGTTCATCATCATCATTTGACCCATCTGGGAGTTCTGTGCCATCATGTTAGGCGGCGGGCTCGCCTGACTCATACGAGGCGTTGCAACCATTGCCGGCCGGCTGATGGGAGTGCCATGGGCCATGTTAGGAGTCGAGTGCGGCATCCGCGGCGTCCCTGAGGGGTGACTTTGCTGACTCCCCCGAGCAGACATATTATGCGACATGGGAACAGACATGGGCGGGTTTTGAACCACAGAGGATGGCCGAGGAGGACTGGCAGCCATGGCAGAACTCGTCTGCTGCATTGGTACACTGTTGTTAACCATGGGCGACGAATGATTTTGAGGAGTGCCCTGGCGGATAATAGGTGATTGCGCTGACACCACTTGCTGCTGTATCTGAGGAGGAAAGCGAGCCTGGGCTTGTCCCGCCATGACAGCGTTCTGGACAGCATTAGGCTGCTGTTGTGGCACAGCTGGACCGCCATTCGGCATGTTATTAGCAGCAATGGGGTTTTGCTGGGGGTGGACATGCGGCGTAGGGGCACTATTTTGTGGTGTGCTGACTTGTTTCGGCGGAGCAACTGGCGTAGCGACCGCCGCTGCTCTGGCAGCCATTGCTGCTCTTTGTGCTTCGCTTTGCTGTCGGGCGTGGTTTTCTCTGATGGCAGCCTCGCGTCTTGCCTTCTCTGCAGCCTCAGCCTGCTGCTTCTGCGCCGCCTGCGCCTGTTCTTGTTGCTGTTGCAGCCTCTGCTGCTGGAGTCTCCTATCATTCTCCTGTTGCTTGATCTTTTCTTGCTCCTTCTTCTCCGCATGTTCCCGTTTGATATCGGCGATAACCTTGAACCGTTCAAATCTAGGCTCAAATGTGGTTGCACCATTCTGAGCATCGCCGTCTGTGCCGCCGGCATTCTGAGCGCTTGTAGTTCCGGACCGTTCATCCAGGAGAAGCATGTAGCGTTCTTGCTCGGCCGCGGCTGCCTCATCCGCTGCCATCTCCGCAACTGTTCTCTTCCGAGTCTTTGGCTGGGGCGGTGGCCCAGAATGCTTGGGATGCGCCATCGCATCCAGGAGGACTATTTGCTCCTCCAAAGTCTTCGTAGGTTCTAAAAACAGGGGTGCTTCAGTTGCCAGCAAAATCTGGCCTTCTGCAGCAGAAAGATGATTTGGTTCGAGCTCCATTTTAACCTTCTTTTGCCGTTTTGCCGGAGGTGGCATCGTGGCAGCTGTCGGTGTAGGGGGAACCAACGTCATAGGTGTTGAGGGAGGGACACCATTTGTCCCTTCTGCTGTCTGCCGCCCATCACCGCCAGCAGGTGTAGTCGCCTTGAGGAATAGATCTCGTTGTAAGCTCTCGGAAGTTGGGTGCAATACCAAGGTATAGACTCTAGGTTTAGCTGCAGCCTTTGATTGCGCAATTGATGTTGAGTGTTCTTTCTCTTTATCTTCTTTCGCTTCCTCCTTGATTGCTTCCGCTTCCGCAGGATTCGTTTCCTCCGTTGGTACAGTCCCTTCCTTCGGAAAGGCAACATAGGGCGAAGGTGTAAGATATTGGCTGCGGCTATGAACTGATGAGGGGTCGGGGGCGTTGGAAGATGATGTTGGACGAGCGGTTTCTTGGCTCTTGGTTGTTGACTTATGATCATGAACCCGAACAATTAGACAACCGTCGTAGAATGGAACGTTGGCCTGGACTAAGTATTCCAGAATATCATGGGGGATCGTTCTTGTCTTGAGGTGTTGGAGAAACATCCGCATCGGGGATACGTAGGAGAAGATGCTGTCCTGTCCGTCGAACCGGAAATGGTTGGGGTGCAGATGCACCACTAATGATGGCCGTTTACCAGCATTTCTCTTAAGAACGTAGCTATCGGTAACAACTGGGATATGTTAGCAACACCGAAGACCCGGTCCGGATTGGCGCCGGGATATCTCACCATACGGCCGGGGCCCCCCATCCAGACCTTGTGGATCGGCCACCACTGAAGAAGACCGCAAGCCTGTGCTATTCCTTGAATTTCGGCCGAGTTGTGTTATCGTGTCGCGGCGAACCCGGTTTACCGGTCGCACAGTCGAGGTTGTGATGTTGCGCTCCACCCCCGGATTGGGTGTGGGTTGCTTCGCGCTTGGCGGAGGTTTCTTGGCCGAAGATGAGGGAGACGGCGAGGGGGTCGTGGCGACCACTCCGTTGGTCTGGATGCCCGGTGGCGGAGGGCGCTTCATCTTGTTGAGGGGGTTCTGCACAGCAACAGGTCCTACAGGAGCCATGATTGTTGAAGTCACAGCTGCGCGAAGGCAGCCGTTGTCCCTATATCAAAGCAGTCGCGGCAGGATGTCGCGTCAAGGATCGGGCATCGAATATGTTTTCGCAGGTAATATGCACGAGGAGTGGTGATGCAGGAAAGAATATAAGTAGGTTGGATCTTGGTGAAGAGTCGGCGTAACCTTGTCGGCGAAGGTTCAAGGTCTGATGTCAAGCGAAACGAGGGCGTTCGGAAATCGGCAGTTGATAGTAGCCTGCCCATCCAATGTGGCGCATTCCCTGGAGAATTATTACATCCAATCAATCCATGAGGATGCGAAAGAAAGCAACAATAAACGTGATAGAGAAAATAGAATATCAAAGGGTCATAAGTTGGCAAAACCGGGGGGGGAGATCGCTCGCGATCTTACGCCATACCAAGTCAATGGGATGCTGCAGATGAGGCGCCTCTCCATACTGTGGTGGTGTGCCTGGCCTGAGGCTGCACGTGTGACAAAGCATGGCCGGTGCTGGTCACGTGACCAACAGCATCCACCACCAAGCCGGAACCTCAAACCACCGTCTCAGTCTTGAATAGGCGGCTCGGATGTCAGAAATTTGGGCAAGCGAGCATTATTATAGTGCTTTGATCGGCCACGGGGCAATTCTAGTTTACAATTCGCGTTTCACACACCGATAACGCGTGTAGCACAGCATAGAGAGAGCAAAGAATAGTCGCAAGCATCGTTCCGCTTTTTAAGCGCGCTGGCTATCCACCCCATATTCTTGGTAATGACATCAATGTTCTACATCAACATGAGAAGGTAAATACGGAAAATTCATCGAAAACACAGACAAGCTCCCCCAACCAAAAGCGGAGCACTCAAATATGCATTATATTCAAAAGCCAGCCTCTTTGCCGCTCCAAGGTATGAATCAGCCTCAATTGGGCTATTCCACGCCCTGAACGCGGCGCCTCCAATCATCATGAACCCTCCCACCATCAACAACCACGACACCACGACCACGGCCGACCCTCTCGGGCTTCTGCCACCATTTCGTGACCTTGGTGTTTCTCTCCGCCTCAGACTCGCTGTCAGCAAGACCACCAGAGCTTTCAGCCCCAACAACCAAGATGACGTCGTATCGCAGCCAAGTTTGCAGGTTGGTAATAATGCTGCCATTGTCCCCTGAAAGAGACTCCTGGAGATAAACAACCTCCGGCTGAAGATGACGGAGAATGTGCACATGACCATTCGCGGTAGTGAATGGAATTACCATGGTTTCCTTGTCGACAAGCGACAGCGCCTGTGAGTACACAGCATTGAATGCTGGGTTGGTAGACGCGTTCAGCCTTGATTGAATATTAGCCATGTTCGTCGTTACGAGCTTTTCTCTCCTGTATACGTACTGTGGGCTCTTGGCTTCATCTCCTGGAGTTTGAGCTTGATCGTGCCCTATGTTAGAATATGATGAGCCTAATGAAGGAGGCGGAAGGTTACTAGATGCAGCCGGGTCCAGGGGCGTATCCTTCAAGCTCGGTGCATAAATCAAAATAAAGAGCTTGACCTTCGAGAAGTCATTGTGTCGAGGAATGTGGGACAGAATTGACTATTTCGGGAATGTCAGATCAGTCCCTATTTCCCCATACAGGATGTGAATTGTCTTACCGCGTGCTCATGATATCCACCATTGTCGACATCCGAAAGGGACGAGTCTGCCGAAACTACGAGGACGACGGTCTTCCTCTTCTTGCTGGTTGCCACGGGGCCACGTTCTTGCTTCAAATCTGCCTCTTCCGACCAAGGGTTATTCTCGGAATACTTGTCCTCCTCGCGGATGGATGCTAGGGCCTTACCCATGGCAGCGAACCCAGCAGCGACAGATTTCCCAGTGGAATCGATGAGCTGCTGCGGGCTGGGTGTTCGCCGAAGGGCACCGGACATTCTCGCGCCCCATCCAGGCGCGGACGCCTCGCTGGCCGGTCCCGGCGCTACTCCAAAGCTCTGCTGATCATCCGCATAAGGGGGCTGCTGTGGCCGTGGGGGCTTCGAGGGAGTAAAGTCGGCCCTCGAAGCACCGTAGGCCGGATTGTCTCCATAGTCGGCATTGTCGTAGTCCAAGCCAGGCTCGTCGGGCTCGTCATCTGAATCCTTGCGCTGGCTCCAAGCCCAGGCTGCAACTCCAGCTGTCGCGACAGTCAGGGTGATTGCAAGAGGCACCCAATGACTCCAAACTCCGCGGCGGGAGCGGGAGCCGCCATCGAATGGATCAGGCGACATCTATTCGGTATGGTGTCGCATTGCTCGGCGGGAAGCTGTCGGAAGTCACTCGAGGTGACCAAGGGTGCGCGTGTTAATCCTCTTGGCGGAGAGGGATTGTTCACGCTGGGGCGGGAGGCTGACCAAACGGATGTTTCTGCTCCTCGGATACGATTCGAATTGTCAATCGGAAAAGCCTGGGGTAACAGGCGTGGTGTTATAGCTAGATGGGGGGGCTGGCATCGCGAACCATCAACAAGGTGGAACCCCATTTCATCTCAATCAGCAAACAAACCGTATGGGGCGGCGCCATTGGCTGGCCACAAAACAGGGGCAAATGGCCGAGCCGAGCCAGTCGCAACTCCAAGGCCCACGAGAGTCCACACGTGAAAGGAGGCACAACATGTGGCGTGTGTCCCCACCAGCCACGGTTCAGCCACAATTTTCTCGTAGCCTCAATCGGTCTTTGATAATGACTCTTTTTGACGTGGGCCACCGCATGAAACTTGTGACTGCATTGAAGGCGCCAGATATTTCCCAAAGCTGAGAGCTTGTGGAATCTGAGACGGGTCGTAATCTCGACCAAATCACGGCATCGCTCCCTTGACAGCCCAATCCAACTAACCTACCTCACTGGATCTTTTCGTGGCTTGTGCAAGATACCAGGATGCCCCACGCTGTGTCGATGGCCTCGACCGGGCTTCAAGCCCTGATTCTATGCGGCCCAGGGTCCTCGTTTCCAACCTTCACCTCAAACCCAGATGAGCATCCCAAAGCGCTGCTTCCGATTGCTAATCGGCCCATGGTCTGGTATCCCATCGATTTCTGCTACCGAATGGGTGTTACAGGTGAGTCACACTGAAGCGCTCCGAACATGGAGAGGGAAGTTACGAAAAAGGCATTCATTCAACACAACCCGTATCGCAATAAATTAAACCGCATCTTTTAATGGCATACAAGCTAACCGTGATTCTCAGATATCACATTGGTTTGCCCACCATCAGCCTCGCAAGCTATCAACACTGCAGTCAATACAAACCCTTATTTAACTGCTCTACCGTTGCCGCGGCCTGATGTGCTCGCACCGGCTGATCTGGACTACAACACCGGAACAGCTGAGATTCTACGTCTTCCGGAAGTCAGAAACCTGGTCAAGTCCGACTTCATTGTCCTTCCCTGCGACTTAGTGTGCGAAGTTGGCGGCGAAAAGCTTCTTCAGGCATGGATGGTCAAGTCAGCCAGCTTGACCGATCTTTTAAGCAGCTTGAAACTGAGCAATGGGAAAAACATCCCCAGCAGCGGAGGTCTCGGCGTCTGGTATGATACCAAAGCGATCGCCCCCATTAAGAAGGAGGAAACCGACTTCATCGCCACAGCACCCGTTGCCCCCACGCCTACCCCAACCCCCAAGGATTCTCTCATTCCCAAGCTGAGAAACCTTGTCTATTCTATTCCCACAGACTCATTGAAGGATCTGACGGAGGAGAGAAAGGGCGTCCCTATCCGCCATGGTTTGATGAGGGCTCACCCTCGAGTCCGCATGCTCACCACCCACAGAGATGCCCACATATACATCTTCCCCAAGTGGATCTTGGACTTTGTCAAAGAAAACGAGCGATTCGATAGCATTGGAGAGGACGTCGTGGGATGGTGGGCCAAGGCTGGCTGGCAGAAGGGCCTCGCGGAAAAGTTGCACGTCCTCGATGTTTGTGAACAGAAGCCCACCAAGGACGACGATGCCAGCCCAGCCTCGCCCACCAGTGGCCACTCCCACCAGGAACCAAGCGTACTGGGTGGCTCTTCAGTATCCCATAGCTCACTCCTGACGGCTGCTTACTTGGGTCAGGATTTAAGACGAGACTCCGACTCTTCCAAGAGCTCTCATGCGAAGCAAGTACCACCGATCCTGGCCTACGTTCATTCTGGCGAAGCTCAGGCACCAGGATCCCTGATCAGGCGTGTTGACACCGCTCAACTCCTCCTTGCGCTCTCTCTGCAGCTTGCCAAGATCCCCTCGCTCGAAGAGAGTGGACCAGAGGCATCGTCGCCATATGCTCACAGCAAGAAGATTGCGTACCCCGAGGGCGTCAAATCTCGCACCACGATTACGAAGCAAGACTGCCTGATCGACAACAATGTCACCATTGAGGAGAAGACATCGATCAAGGAGTGCGTGATTGGCGCCAACTGCCAGATCAACGAGGGGGCAAAGCTCTCTCAATGTCTTCTCATGGATGGGGTTGTAGTCGGAAAGGGCTGCAAGTTGACCAAGTGTATCTTGGGAAAGAGATGCGTCATTGGGGCCGGCTCAGTATTGACTGATGTTGAGGTCCAGGAGAATCTCCTTGTGGAACCCAGAAGTAAGTCTCCCCCAATACAATAAGCATTCAGCTCAAAGCTAACAATCATCTCTCTACCCTACAGCGGAGGACAAGGACAACAAGCTGATGAGCTCGGAAGGTCTAGAAGCTACGGAGGCAGAGATGGAGGAGGTTCTCCAGGAGCAAGAGCTCTCCACGGAAGATGCCGTGGAAGACTAATGAATCAAGTAGTAAAATAAAAGTTCCGGCATTTGTCACGATGTTCCAAAAGCTTCATGCATCGATAGCCACCATGGGTTAGGTCAAAGCGATAGGAGAAGTGAGACGTCTCCTGCACCGGAACTTTCCATCCGCAGCCACCTACCTACCCTAAGCTGCTCGCATGCATCACGATCATCGCCATCCATCCACCCGAGTCCATCGAAATGGGCGTAGAGCAAGACG